CATCATTGTTAGTACTCCGATAAAAAATTCTACAAGTAAAAACTAAAAATATTTGCAAATTATCGGTATTATTTATTTTAGGAAAATTTCGCGTTTTTAATTTAATTTAATCGACTATTACAAATGAATTTAAAAGAAAACGAAGCATACTTGTTAATTGGCTCACATGCTAGAAGTACCCGGTTCGAGACCTACTATTGAAACAAAATTTGTGTTGTTAAAATTAAAATTACAGAATTCAAATAGTTGAGTTGAACTAGGAGTAAGAAGAAAAAGATTAGAACACGCGAAGATAAAAAGAAGAATAAAGAAATGGAGAATAGGAGTTGAAGAGAATAAGAAGATTAGAGGAGAGAGAAGAAAGAAGAAGATTACAAGAGAGAAGGATTAAGAAGTCAGTTGAAAAATTGTGTAGTATAGAATATATATATATATATATATATATATATATATATATATAGAAATTGTATATGATATAGAAGGATGTGAAAAAAGTAATGTTGTAGGTGTCAATGCCCCGAATAATCCTGAGATTAGTTGATCACTCATTGCAGTGGATACTATTATAATTTTTAAATTTTAACCGATTTATTTATGTGTGCGTGAATAACTGTGTGTGAATAAGTATATCTGTGAGAGTGAGTAGAATCATAAGCAAAATAGCTCATAGAATTTTTGTAAATTCTGATTACTGTTAAATAAAGTATATATAAAAAATAAGTTTTATAATACAAATTTGTTGAAGTTTATAAAAAATAAAAAATTGAACCTAAATACAAAACTTACAATAAATGTTCAAACATTTAACACCCTATTGCCGCATGCTTTATATGGCGCCCCCGAAAAGTGAATCATCAAAAACACGATCCCTCGCCTTTGCGTATTTTTGTACTGCGAATTAACCGCCAAACTTTTTTCATTAAATGAAAGATTTAATTTAATTGAACATAAATTAATATAATGTAATTGTGGATAATATGAATTACCTCAAAATAAATATTTAAGAATAAATATACATATGTACATTTATTTGTAAATATATATTAAACAAAAAAGAAATTACTGCATAATGAACAAACAAATATTCAGAATAAATTACACTTAATGTGTGTACAATATGTACACAGACTGAAGTTATGATTGTTATTAAAATAATTTTTACTAATTATTTATTATTATAATTTCAGGCCGTGTACAAATCGCACACATATTCTGTAGTAAGTTTATTTCATTAAATTGTAAGTTTAATAATTTGATATTTTTATTACATATTAATTATGCCAAATTCTGATACCGTAAATTATTATTGATAGACATTTATGTAAGTTTGAACGCATGAATCCAGTGGTGGCCAAATCGTATGGATTTTAAATGAATTGTTATTAAATTAATAACTGATCTTTGTCAATACATATATATATGTATTTATGCATATATACATATATATATATATATATATATATATATATATATATATATATATATATATATATATGTGTGTGTGCGTGAGTGTATGCGTGCTTAATTATACCAGTTAGTATACAAACAAGATATGTATAATATTTATATATCAATTACACGAAGTCAAAATTAATCGCCAAAGTGAAACATTATCCCAAGTATAAACAATTTAAAATGAATAACGAAATATTTTGCTACATGCATACTACTCGCAACGTACGACATATTGCGCAGGTCTGGGATCGCATGTGTTACGTATACATATAATACGGCGAAAAAGATGTAACCAAGTTAAATAAATAAATATGAAAAGTAATAATTCCATTTTAAAAAACAATAGCTCACTAAATAATAATTTTCTATTCGAAAAATCCAAACCTCTTACACAAGGTCATCCAATCGATTTTAACCGTGTGCTCTCTGAATTGAATGCATTGCAATTTCTGTATTTTAATACGGGCTCAAGCGCTTGTGA